GGCAAAAAACCAACCCCCCCCCCCTCCTCCTCCTCCTCCTCCTCCTCCTCCTCCTCCTACTACTACTACTACTACTACTACTACTACTACTACTACTACTTCTTCTTCTTCTTCTTCTTCTTCTTCTTCTTCTTCTTCTTCTTCTTCTTCTTCTTCTATGCTTTAGGTTGAACCTGCATTAAGCAGGGGGTTGGACTAGATGGCCTGTAAGGTCCCTTCCAACTCTGTGATTCTAGGATTCCCTGGAGAAAAGGCGGGGCTCATATGGGAGAAAAATAACAAATCCCAAACTGTGTGCAGAGGCATACTAATGCACCAGCATGGCAGAAGAAATAAATAATGATTCAATCTTTAAAGCCCGAAGACAGTCAGAGGACCGCACGGATGCTGTTTGCTGTGTCTCAGCAGGATTCACTGATCTGGCCTTTATCTCCATTGAATCAGCCTCCACTGTGAAGTGGGTAATTCTGCTGAGTCACTGATTCAGGTGCAACTGACTCATTTAATCACCCCCCCCCAAAAAAGCTGCTCAGTTTTCTGTATGAGTCGCTACTGTTGGGTTACTCCTTTCTGATAAAAAAAAGCACATCCAGATCCATGACTCATGCAGGTACACGGTGCACCTCTGTGGCTGGGTAATTCTACACACCCTGCACATAAATCTTCATGAGCATAAGAATGAAAGAAGTCTCCAGTTTTAATTCTTTGTTTTTAAAGTATGCGTCAGTTACAGACAGTTTAGGGAAACACTGGCCTATTACGCACCAGTGTTTTCCCTCGCTTTCACTGTGCATATCCACCAGGATTTCTTTTTCATTCTGCATCGATTTCCCTCCTTTCAGCACTCAAGTTCCTTTCTGGTCGCTGTTTCCCTGGGTTTTCTGAGAGTGCTTTTGTGCCAAATTTCCCCCTTGTTTTGCTTCCAAGCAGCAAGTAATTCAAAAGTGTACAAGTTCCCTAGGATTCCCCCCTCTCCGCCCTTTTGCTGCCCTTCGAAGGTCACTCCCCCGCCCACATTGAGGTCATTCCGGTCACTCTGCCCCTGCCGCCATCCTCTCCTTTTCTCTGATGTACAAGCTCCATTGATTACTTTCCCGTCTGTTGTTTTACATTTTTGATTTTTTTTACAAGCGGCATGAGTCCTGCGATATGAGACTATCTCTAGTCTCAGATAGCTGAATAAAAAATAATAATAAAATGACGGGTGGAAGTTTAAAAGGAAATGCGCAAGGTTTAGGTCCGACTGCTTCAGGAGAGCAGCAGCAGGAAGAAACAACACCTTCAGACTGCTCCAGAGCTCAGCCACCAAAATTAAACTCATCTGCAGCATCCCAAAAATACCATCACCAAAACAAATGAAAAGTCTTTGCAGGCCTGTAGCCAGGAATTTCTAAGTCAGGGGGCCTTTTATTTCCTCGGGGGCCACTGGGGCACTGGCTAATTTGATTAAAGGTAATTACCGGCTTCTCGGTGCTCTCAGGTGTGGCAACGGCACCCTCCACCTGGCCGTCAGCTCTGCCTGCCTTGTGCTTTGGCATCGTGTGCCTCCTCCCCAGTGCTCCCCTCCACCCACCCCAGCCGCCGGCCTGCCTGCTCGCCTTTCCCCAATGCAGAAAAGACGCTCTGGAGGCTGCTACCAGGATGAGGGGGAGGGCGGGGGTGGGAGTGGGGAGAGACAGCACCGGAAAGGGGGAAGACAAGGAGAACCAGCAGCCCTGGCAGCACAGGGGGAGTCTGTGGCAGCCACCACATCTTGCCAGAGAGTTGGGGGGGCTGGGCTGAAAGGAATTCGGGGGGGCATTGGCAGGAAGTCAGGGGGCCAGGCCCCGAAATGCCCCACTGTAGCTACGGGCCTGAGTCTTTAGTGCAAACTGGTTAGGACTTAGGCGCGTGTCAAACAAGGCTGAACTCTCAATGCAGCGGTCCATCCCCTTCTTGCCAAACCAGCATCAACAGCACCGAGCGAGGAGTAAGGGAATGAAAGCCCTTATCAGGAGGCCTGCTACTCTGCCTCCATAGGATTTACAGAAAGAGGCAGAAACATGATTTGTTGGCAGTCTTTCCTGACACGGAGGAGAGGAGTGAGGGGAGAAAAGCTGACTCTAAAAGGCAGAGGTCCTTTTTATGATGTGCGAACATACACTTATTTGGAAGTAAGCTCCCCTGAACTCAGTGGGGCTTCTTGCCAAGGAAAAACACACAGGGTGAGGCTGCAGACGCTTTTCTTTTCATGAACTAGGGCTTTCTCATGCTATTTGTGTAAATGTCTAGTTGTGAGTGCAGAACAGAAAGCAGAATCTGGTTTTTCAAGCCAACATTTGGGAGTTCTGACCAATGTAGGCTGAACATTTCCATTCTCCCATAACTTGACTGCTGCGAGAGCTATTTTAAACTTTGTGAGTGATCAAGTCAAGGGCTGGTCCATACGTTTGTTTTTAAGAGAGCAACATTTGCACGTGACGTATTTCACAGAATTTGGGACTGAGCGGTAGGAAGGCTTTTGTATAAAACGTCCTTTTCACTCAGAAGCTATCATGTCAGAGGAAAAGCTTGAGCAGTAACTATATCCCTCATGGGATTACTCTGGAGTTATTTTCAAGGGAGGCGTCGTGACTTTACGAAAACGCTTCCCTATTTCAAAGCAAGGTAGCCAACCTCTGATGTGTACACAAGTCTGAAGGTATGGTCTGATAGAAAAGGAAGGCTTTTCCCCAAGGTTAAGCATTCATATGCAAAGCACTGTTAGGCTGTTAGTGTCGTGAGGTAGTTAAGAGCAGTGGACTCTAATCTGAAGAATCAGGTTTGATTCTCCACGCCTCCTCCACATGAAGCCTGCTGGGTAACCCTGGGCCTGTCACCATTCCCTCAGAACTCTCTCAGCCCCACCTTCCTCACAAGGTGCCTGCTGTGGGGAGAGGAAGGGAAGAAGAAGAAGAAGAGGAGGGGGAGGAGATTGGATTTATACCCCGCCCTTCACTACCCAAAGGTGTCTCAGAGCGGCTTACAAACTCCTTTCCCTTCCCCTCCCCACAACAGACACCCTGTGACGTAGGTGGGGCTGAGAGAGCTCTGACAGAAACGGCTCTTTTTCAAGAACAGCTCTTATCAGAACTACGGCTTGCCCAAAGCCAGGTGCAAGTGGAGGAGTGGGGAATCAAACCCGGTTCTCCCAGATTAGAGTCCGCGCACTTAACCACTACACCAAACTGGCTCTCTGTTAGGCTGTTATAAGCCACTCTCTGTTAGGCAACTATAAGCCACTGTCTCCTTCAGGTAGCGAAAAGTGGGGTATAAAAACCAACTTTTCTTCAAGTTCCCAATTTTTAAAGAAATACTTTTAAAAAAAGGATTTTAACAATACATAGAATGCTACAGTCCTCAGCTGCCTAGGGAGGTGGTGAGCTCCCCCTCACTGGCAGTCTTTAAGCAGCGGCTGGACAAACCCTTGTCAGGGATGCTCTAGGCTGATCCTGCATTGAGCAGGGGGTTGGACTAGATGGCCCGTTTGGCCCCTCCCAACTCTCTGATTCTGTGATTCCAAATCTGACCATGTGGGGCATCTTCATAAGAAAACTTAACCAAAGAAAAATGATGGGGGGGGGGGAACTCACCCTGTGGTAAACTCCGCTCTAAAACAATTGTGTAAACACATACCCAGAAGTTTGCAAAATGTGGAAAGTAGCAAGCTTCCAAGCCTTGGGCTGGATCCTATGACCTGCAGATGCAAGTTTATTCCCAAGGTCATGTGACCTGCATGGTGGAATAGCCACACAGGTCAGGCCACTGCAGTGGGGAAGGGGCCAAAATCGCCCCCTTCTTCCTCTTCTACCAGTGGACCTAAACTGATGGAACAGCCAGAGAGATCAATTTCGTCCTCACTCCCACTGCAGCCCCCTGACCTGCATGACCCGTAGGTCATATGACCCCGGCAGTAATCTTTCTAGGGGGCAGAAATGGGTGTTATGGGCAGGGGAACGCAGGAAAGATCCACCATCATCTGTGCTTTCTGGATCATTGGATCTCGCAAGGTTCTTCATCATATAAGAACACATAAACTTATCCAGTTGAACCAGTCACCAGAATCAGATAGATAACCATTAATGATCTGCATTTTTACTTACGTGTTGTTTCAGTGCCTCGGAGTCCCTCACTGGCAGAGCTAATATATATGGCAAATACAGCTATCTGATACTCAGTTAAAGACATCAGGTTTTTCAGAACTGCTGTTGAAACGGTGCCGTCCACCACAACCTGTATGAAGGGAGAGGCTGGTTTAAACAATGCAATAGTAACACTGACTCTAGAGGCTAAAGTTCCTAACAGTCCCTGCTTCTGGGCTGTGGTATGGAAAAGGTGGCTATCTTTCCCCAATGACCCTTCAAAACAGGCCTTTGGAAGGCAGTGAAGTCCTGTTGTGAGGTGAGTGATAACACAAGGACTCCAAAGAAGACATTCAGTGGGAGTTTTGTGTCTCCCAGACTCACACATGCTATTTTCTCCTCACAACTGGGGTGCGAGGACAGAAAGCAGCCTTCCCCCTCCCCCATAAAGGGATGCCAGCCTCCAGGTGGGTCAAACAACAAATATATACATTGCAAAAACCTTTTTAATAAGTTAAAGTGTTCTATATGTTCCATCTTATAAAGAGCATTGTGTATTATTCATAATATTCTAAAACAGGTATATATTCATTACATGCAATATCAAGAATAATAATCATCTAATAGCTACCAGCTACCAGTCAATTTACATCCCTTTTACACAATCAACCCCAACGGGAGTTCCTAGAATTGTACACCTGCTTCACCTTGCTTGAAAGTCTTCTAAAGGGGGAAGGTTCCTTTTGTGGTTACATTGAAGTTTAAATTGATGTTTGTTGCTGGTCCTACAAAAGGCCCATTAAGCAGCTGACATTCATAGATGGAGCGCTTGAGAAAGACAAGAGCGCTCCGTCTATGAATGTCAGCTGCTTAATGGGCCAAAGGTATGTAGGTCAAAACCAGCACTTTAAAGCTCAAAACCAGCACTGTAAGGTCAAAACCAGCACTCTTTGCAACACAAGAGCAATAACGAGAGAGACTGACAGGAAAAAGGGATCTCAGACAGGCCAAAGGCCTTAAAATTAAACCCATAATGGTGGTTTCTCATTGGGAGATTGATGCATGAATGTAACTGGCCTTATTTTGTGAGGGTCAATTCATACAACATACAACATCTACCAAGAATTTTCAGATCATTCAACATGTAGGCATATTAGTCTTTACCTCCTCCGGCTGCCCTCCTCTTGTAGGATAGTAGACAACTCTGTATTTTTCCACTTTTCCTGGAGCATGGGCCCAACTCACACGGAATCCTCTGGCCGTCACCTCAGATGTGACTAGATCTGTCGGAGCCCCAACGGTGGCTACCAGGGTCCCTAAGTTTTAACCATTTGCATGAAATTAATTTTTTTTCATCTGCCAAAACCCAGCAAGCTCTCACCATCATCTTTTGAAGTAAACGGGCTTCTCCAGAATCTACAGACAGCAAAAACAAGTTTCCATCTACCTTTGATTTCCTTCTCCTGCTCTTCCACTCTGGAGCAAACAGTTTTTGTAAGGCCTTCCACAATGGAATTCATAAAACTGAAGTCAGCAACGTTGTAGACGTGACTGCTGTCTGGTTCAGAGGCGATCTCCTTCAGCTCATTCTCATCAGCATTCTTAACACCTGATATGAGGAGAAACAACAAAGATGGCGATCTTTCTTCATTCAATTCCATGTTTTGCTCATTTAACATTCCCCAGGAATCCACGAACTGGAACTGTAAACTCATAAGGTTCAAAGAAGATGTGGTGGAACATGTAAAAACCATCGTAAAATGAGCACTTTTAAGGGAAACCCTTTCCACAGCCCTTTGATGAATATGAGAATACCCTGAGGAAGAATGCTTACCAATAGCAAACAATTCAATGCCAGCATCTCGCAGGTTTTTTGCAGGCGGGATCACGTCATCCTGGGATTTCCCGTCTGTGATCAATATACCAATTTTTGGAACCCCCGGTCTTGCACCAGCCTCCGGTTTAAAGTTATTCTCCAAAATGAAAGTTAAAGCAAGGCCTATGCGGAAAAAAAAAAAGCAAATGAAAAATTGGTCAAACAGATTGTTAAATATTCCCCACCTCCCTGAGCCACAAAATGTGCCAAGGCCAAAATTTCCTCGGTTTGATTTCCATTGGCATGGAGAGCGGAGCACTACAGACTGATGGTATTGTTGCAATATTTCATTTCTTTTTATAAATCAACACCGGCAAGGAGCTTTCAAGACAAGGGAGAAGCAGAGGTGGTTTGCCACTGCCTTCTTCTGCACAGCCTTCCATTGCTGTCTCCCTTCCAAGTTCCAACATTGCTTAGCTTTTGAGATTTAGCAAGACTGGGCTATACCATGCAAGTCTGAGAAAGAGAGAGACTGAATCCCAATATGCTTCACCATTAGTCAGCTCCCAGCTCTCTCTTTTTCTGGGTTGGATCCCACAGATGGAGAGGGGTTGGATTTTTGCCGATTTCCCCTTTCCATGGTAGACCTCTGATTCCTCCTTTGTGCTGTTCCTAGGAATCAGTGGCCCCAGCATTTCATAGGGCATTTTGAGCTGCGGTGAGAAAGCCACTGATGTGAATCTTTTTATCAGTGGATATTTCTAGGGGAATCCAAGCCTCTGTCCCTTGCAAACTGCTAACTGAAGTCTCTCCCTTTCTCTCTCACACACACAAGACACACACAACTCCCTCGGCCGATATCTTTTCAAAACTCTGACAGGTTCTTGACCCAACAAAATGAGAAAGAGATCAGAAGACCATCATCTGAAAATTAGCTCCCCCTGAGGAAATCTTTACAGTCCACCTCTTCCACTGGGCAGTTGTGAGGGAAAATATCAGATGACCCCATCAACGAATGCCAGCCTGACCTCCTTGGAGGATGGAGGAGATATGGCTATGACGGATGAATGAATACATTTTAATGGCCTGCTCCTTTTGTACCTTTACTTGCATCTTGTCTCATGGGAACTTCAGCTGATGAAGTTTTCCCCACCGCTTACGCCATCCCAAAAAAGATCCCCTCGTTAAGTTTCTGTGAAGTGGCCATTAAAGGGACAGCACAGAAGGACCTAAGGTCATCATCTTCTAGGAGATCTCCTGGAATTACAATTGATCTCCGGATGACAGAGAAAATGGCTGCTTTGGAGGGTGGACCCTATAACATTATATCCCGCTGAGCTTCCTCCCCTCTCCAAACCCCCTCCTCCCCAGGCTCCACCCCCCCCTCCAATCTCCCGGAATTTCCCAAACCAGTGATGGCAACTCTAGCAAGGACCCATCTTTTTAAAGACGTGGCAAATTCAGATCTCTAACAACCGTCCTGAAGGGAGCTCAAAATCCCTTTGAAGACTAAACTTGCCATTCCTGGAGAGAGTAACTGGAAGAATGAACAAGAAAAAGAAATCTGGGGAAAGTATAAAATTAGAAATACATATCTAAATGCTACATATGCTAGGAGGGGAAACTTCAGTGTGTATTGTCAGTAATAGGGTGAAGCAGGAATTTCAAATTGCTGAGTGAAGAGCCTGAGACTACTGAGCCTGGCATTACGAATAACCGTTACACATCAGAAAGACCGCTTGGGGGCCTGTCCTTTCAGCTTCCTAGGATTCTAAAGCTATTTCCCAGGATTTTTTCTGAGAAACCCTGGGAGACGAGAGACCTGAGCCAAGACAAAGGAGCCAGCGATGCAATCTGACACCCCAAACCTGATAGGGCTGCCAAATGCCCCCGGGGGGCGGAATTCCCCCCGGTTTCGAGCCCCGATTCCCGCTCCCATGGAATCGGGGCCCGGGGGAAACCCCACCCCCGCGCCCGCGTCAACCGGAAGTGACATCGGACGCTGGGGGCGGGGCCACGCCATTTGAGGGGAAAACAAAGAGTTTTCCCCTCAAATGGCGTGGCCCCGCCCCAGCGTGTGATGTCACTTCCGGGTGACGCACACGGTGGCGCGCGTGCGCCGGCCGGGAGCCCCCCGCTCCCGGCCAATTTTAATTTGGCAACCCTAAAACCTGATGGCACTGGGTAGTATGTACAGTTAGGTGCATGGGGGTGGTGGAGCACTCACAACCAGGGCTATTTTTGGGCAGGAACGCACAGGAACGGAGTTCCGGCTGGCTCCCAAGTTGGCCATGTCCAGCAGGAACTCATTAGCATAATAGGCCACACCCAACAGCAGGAACTCATTCGGATTGGCTACAATTAGGGGTGTGTGGCCTAACATGCAAAAAGCCCTGGGTTTTGACAACAAACAAGGTAAAGAGAATAAGGAGCAAAAAGTGGGTGTGGCTGGATGACCACACTTCTGGTAACACGGGGGTGTGGCCTAATATGCAAATGAGCTGTGCTGTCAGGGGTGTGGTCTAATATGCTAATGAGTTTCTGCTGTTGGGCATGGCCTATTATGCTAATGAGTTCCTGCTGGGCTTTTTCTACAAAAAAAGCCCTGCTCACAACTGAGCATGCATGGAAAGGGCCAGCAGCCCTGGGCCCCGACAGCTGTCCTACCCGGGGGTATGCTGATGCCAGCCCTGTATGCAAGACCCCAAACCTCTTCAAATGTCCCTATCAGAATTAAAATTCTATAGTCACAAATCACCTTGCTTGGAAGTAACAACATAGATGGTTTGCCCTTTCCCACCCCGCGCCTTGCTTCTCAGCACAAGCCTCTGTCATTATTTTGAACGTTACTTATTTATTAAATTCGGTTTCTAGACCGCCCTCTCCTGTGGAACAGGGCTCAGGGCGGTGTACATCAATAAAACATTCACACATTAAATTCATAGTAGAAACAATGGGGAATTTCACATTACCCAGTTTCACCCGGTTTCAAGCCAGTAATGATCCGTTTTGAAGTGAACGGATGGCTTTCCCCTTCCAGTAAAGAGCTGGATCTGAAGCGGTTTGCCATTTCAGACTGCACTGCTTTTTCCCGCTTTTCCCCCGCCGTTTTTCGCCCATGCGGGCGATCTCCAGCTTTTTTTTTTAACGTTCGCTTTAGAGCGCTATAGCACTATAGCAGTATAACAAAACACTCCATGCATTCCAATGGGATTGATATAATGCTATTCCATTATAGCGTTATAGCGCTATAGCACTATAAAGCAAACGTTCCACACACAAAAAAAGCCGAAGATCGCCCACGCGGGCGAAAAACGGCGGGAAGAAGCACATCGGAACCGGGAGAGGAAACTGAGGAGTACTTGGAAGCGGTTGACAGGTAAAACGCTTCAGCCCCATTTCCTAAACGGGACAGAAGCGATTGTGTATGAAATGACAAATATATTCCGGAAGGGAACCGGTTCTCAACGGTTCTATCTGAAATGACAGACCAGAAACCGTTTGGGAACCGTTCCTCTTCCGGAATATATCACCTGTCTGAAATTCCTCAATAAAACACAATGTTTAATCTAATTAGACAGTGCTAAAACTTCCAGTTGTGCCACTGCCTCACGGGGAGGGGCAAGAGACAGGAGTGCCAGCCAATGTTCCCTCTAAGTTGTAGAGTCCTGTGAGCAAAAATTCTACTTTGTGAGCTACCCGCATTAAAGTTGTGAGCAGGTGATTTGGCTACTGCATAAATTAGTGTGTTCTGGAGCCATCCTTCCTGAGCTGAGAAAAAAATGTGTGAGCCGGAGGCTAAAAAACTGTGAGCTAGCTCACACTAACTCAGCTTAGAGGGAACACTGGTGCCAGCCAGATGGAAACCATCGCTGTCCTCAACCAAACACCTGGCAAAACATCTCTGCCTTACAGGAGGTGCAGAACTTCATTAAGTCCCGCAGGGCACGTTTGTTACTTGGCAGAGAGTCCCACTAGGTTGAGGACAGCCGGAGACTACCAGAAAGTTCTTATCTGCTAGGCGCAATGCTCTTTGGTGGGTATACCAGGAGATACTACCATCAATTGGACTGGATTGGAGGAGCTCGTTCCTTACCTTTTGCATGCTGAAGGCCAGGGGAAACTTTAGTGATGTATACAGAGAAAACGACATGAATAAAGCAGTTTGTAAATGGCTGGAAGTATAATATTTGGAAGCTGAATGCATTTTGAGTTGCATGCGCATCACACACAAACCATACTGTACCTGTTAAGGTGTTCCCACCCTTATAGGGTAGGTTACGCACTGCGTCTAAGACAGCATCCTTTGTACCATAGGCATTCAAGTGCCACTCTATCCGGGGATCACCACTGTACTGGGCAAGTCCTAGGGAAGCAATCACACAAGCTTTATTGATAGCACTAGCCAAACACTCATCATTGTGACTGGTGTGTATGTGTGTTTGGAGGGAAGTTTGAACAATGGGAGGACTTCTGGGGTGTGTGTACAATGTCTGTCTGCTCATGAAGACACATTTGACGTTCTTGTAGGGTCCGTCAATGGGCACTGGGCCAACGGGTTGCAACCATGATCCCCCCGCCCCAACGCCTTGCTTTTTTCATGGCAACCTTGCATGGAAGAAAGCAATGGGTTGCATTTGGGGATACCATTCGGAGATGCCTATAAACTTTCTGTTTGCCCACTGGTGACCTCTCTCCAGCCACTAAGAGTCAAACCTACTTCAGTCCAGAGGTCATTTCGGGGGGGATCGCGGGGGATCGCAGTTCCCCCGGGTGAGGTACGGGAGCGGGGCACATGACGAAGCCCCGCCCCCTGCTTCCGGCCGCCCCGCTTCCGGCCCTCATTCAGCCAGGAGGAGGCAGGAGAAGAGGGGAGGGTAAGTTGCTTCCTCCCTGCCTCTCCCCACCCCTGCCTGCCTGGGGCCAGGGAGGGCCTTCGCGGGGCTTCCTTGCACTCCCGCCGGCCTTGCAGGTCCACCGCCGGGCCCCTCATGGGGCTCAGCAGTGGAGCTGCAAGGCTGGCGGCAGCGGCCAGGACCGTTGGGGGCGGGGTGTGTGGCCTTATGACACACTTCCGGTGATGTCAAGGGGTGTGGCCTTATGACACACTTCCGGTGATGTCAGGGGGTGTGGCATATGCTAATGAGTTATGCTAATGAGTTCCCCTAGCTTTTTTTCTACGAAACGACCCCTGCTTCAGTCTGCGTACTCAGGATTTATTTCTTGGACACTCTTAAACTCTGACAGAAAGCTGAGAACCGGATTTTATACTTATAGAGGTCAGTTACTCCTGCTCTGTTCTTTGCTGGCTTGGGAGAGCCACTTAAGGAAGAAAGGAACACCAGCTTTTGATTTAAACAAACTACCCTCTATTGCGGAGACAGGGCAGAATCTGGTAGGCTGGGTGTGCCACCAAAGCCAAACCAGGTAAGTGACAGAGCAGAGAGGAATCTGATGGGTCAAGGGTAGTAGATTCAGTATGGAACCTTGGCAACTATGGGTACAGCCGGGCATGTTTTTCACGCTACAATACTGACTCCCTCACCGAACAGGGTTTTAGCAGAAGGATCAGTAAAGAAGTAGCTTGTGACTGTCCTATTTGTCTCATATACTTTAGACCAGGTATAATTGTGATTCAGGAGTACCTCTGCCTCCGGCTAGCATCATGGTCCTATCTAAAAGGCAAAGGTTCCCTTGCTCGAAAGCCAGTCGAATCCGACTCTAGGGTTGCGGTGCTCATCTCTGTTTCAAAGCCGAAGAGCCAGCGCTGTCTGAAGACATTTTCGTGGTCACGTGGCCGGCATGACTAAACACCAAGGCGCACGGAACGCTGTTACCTTCCCACCAAAGTGGTCCCTATTTATCTACTTGCAATTTCTTGCTTTCGAACTGCTAGGTTGGCAGGAGCTGGAACTAGAGACGGGAGCTCACTCCGTCATGCGGCACACTCGGGTCTCGAACTGCTGAACTACTGACCTTCCACAGCCTGCAGTTCAGCGTCTTAACCACTTGAGCCACCGCAGCTCCTATCTACTGGATGACTATTGTTATAAGCCTGCAAACTATTATACTGTACCATATATGTCAACCTGCCAAAGGAGTCCTGTAGCTGTTGCTGTAACAGATTAGCAGTGCGATGCTAAGAACACTTTCCTGGGAGTAAGCCCAAGGAATAAAAACAGGTCTTTACTTCCGAATAGACCTGTTTAGGAGTGCTCCCTTGCACAATTATCTTTCCAGGACCATTTCCACAGTAGTGAAATTCCCCACACTGACGCTTTTAAAACTGCGTGTCGTGTGAGATTTTCCTCACCAGGTACAAACTCGGAGTTTTCTCCTTCTTACACCCTGTGTTTTCAGAATCCCCAGTTTTAGTGAGTTCTGATAATGCACGGTAAGAATGAGAAAACTTTGGGTTTGCGCCTGGTGAGGAAAAATCTACTGTGGAAAATTTCACATAACACGCAGTTTTAACGTCAGTGCTAATGATTTCACTACCGCGGAAATGGCCCAGGATTTCACAGCACAAAACACACTTACCACCAGAGGTCATTTCGGGGGGGATTGTGGGGGATCGCAGTTCCCCCGGGTGAGGTGCGGGGGGGCGAGGCACATGTGTGGCATATGCTAATGAGTCCCCCTAGCTCTTTTTCTACAAAACGACCCCTGCTTACCACTAAGAGTTTTAATAATTTGAAGACCATAGCATTGATGCTAAATGTGTGCCCACAGCAAATAAGTTGGAATGTCTACTTTAAAAGGCGTAAAATCAAGTCACAATCAACATAGGTGCCTTGCTTTAAACCCTTTGAAATATTACCTATTCTTGTCTTTTCGGAGCCCACGTTGAAAGCCTCAACCAGATTCTCCAGGAAAAGACGCACAAGCCTGAAGTTGAATCTGCCAATGCTCCAGGAACCATCGACTAGGATCACAATGTCTGCAATGGCTGGGGTTTTACATTTAAATTGGTTTTCTGTCAATAACAAAAGTGCACATGGAAGATTTAATTAAGTGAAAATAGAGCAACATAGGTTGTTGTCACTGTTGTTTGAGGGGAGAGGAATAATGTTTAAAAGAAAACATGGTTAGAGCAAAAGAAGAAACCTGGAGAAACTCCTTGGATGCTGTACTTGTTGGAAAGAAATATCAATTAGTCATGCATTCGGTGTTTCAGGATCGACAGGTATAAGAGGAAGGAATGTATCTGGGCAAGGTGAGTCATACCCCTGGGAGGTTATAGGGAGCTGCCTAGGACAGGATTTTAAAATGGCCAAGTCTTTTGCAGCAACCGCCCCCTGGGGGGACTTTCTATTTGGCCAAATGCCGTTTACGCCTTCATTTATATCACTGGGCTTCGAGAAACTTGTGAATGTGAAGACAATAATGTGGCCAGTATTGGAAGAGATGGTTTGATAAGAAACAGGCAAAAGATGAAAATGGTCAGTACACGCATGGCTGGCAGAATATCAGAAACAAATATGTACGGAAGAGTGAGGAACCACAGCTGGACATGCAGTCAAATAGCCATTCTTAGTACATTTAATACACGCAACAGACACCTGATTTGCAAACCTCAGCACTGAGAGCAGTGTTTTTGACAACAATAAAAAAGCAATCTGATGTGCAGAAGGGATAACCGTAAATATTTAGCTAAACTTACCTGAAATGCTATTTTTAAAAGCAACAATAATGGATATTAACAATGCAAGAACATAAACGGTGATGCTCATGCACGAAATGTATCCAGATGCAACGGGTTTAGTCACAGACAATTATAGCATACAGCTGGTTATCAAGTACAGTAACTGGGCCAACTTATAAGTGTACAACTATGGTTAGATTATACAGCAGTGATCTTCCTGGGCAAGAGTTAGCAACGTGATCTCATTTTCACAGTTTTGTGGATGTTGGAGGCACACTGGGATGGCGGGGGGAGTGAATCTATACCAGAACTTTGAATATTAGCGTGCTAGTGGGGTGCAGTGGTTCAGCTGTCCGTCTAGGAAGACCCAGGTTCCGATCTTCAGTCAGCAATGAAATCTGTGTACTGACTTCATTTATATTCTGCCTTTCTCGTGAACTCAAGGTGGTTTACAAAAATTCAGCTCACTACATTACCTTGGGCCAGCATTCACTCTCAGGATGACCTACCTCCCTGGGTTGTTGTGGGGAAAAAATAGAGGATGGAAGAACCATGTACAGTGTCTTGAGCTTCTCAGAGGAAAGGTGGAATGAGAATGTGACAGACAGACAGACCCGAGAGAAAAGCATGGGGAGAATCTTCTAAGCAGGGCTATTTTGGGGCAGGAACGCACAGGAATGGAGTTCCGGCTGGCTCCCAAGTTGGCCACGCCCAGCAGAAACCCATTAGCATAATAGGCCACACCCAACAGCAGGAACTCATTAGGATTGGCTACATTAGGGGTGTGTGGCCTAACATGCAAAGAACTTCCTGCTACAAAAAAGGCCCTGGGTTTTGACAACAAAGAAGGTAAACAGAATAACAAGCAAAAGGTGGGTGTGGCTTGATAACCACACTTCTGGTAACATGGGGGTGCGGCCTAATGTGCTAATGAGCTGTGCTGTCAGGGGTGTGGCCCAATATGCTAATGAGTTCCTGCTGGACTTTTTCTACAAAAAGAGCCCTGCCTAAGTAAGTTAATGGACACTTTCCCAAGAATTTCAGTAGGGAACTGACTGGCCGAAGCTGATAAGCAAAGACTTATCTTCAAGCAGCTCTTTAAAGCACACCTGTCTTTGACCTATTTGCATTCTTGCAGTGATTGCTTGCTGTATCAGTAACCCAGCCTTAAATAATGGCTTCAACAAAATCCATAAGGAACTTGTTAGTGAATGCAGCCTTCCACGTGATAGGCAGTTCGGATGAGTTATGTGATTCATACAGCAGATTGTGGCCCAGACAAATTATGGTGGGGAAAGAGGAGCCGCTGCTGCTGCTGTTTCTTCTTCTTCTTCTTCTCTCTCCCCCCACCCCCGTTCTTAGACCAAGTTCTTGAACAATAAAACTGGAAAACTCAAATAAAACCCACATCTAAAAACACCTCCTTTTGACACTTCTCCATAGCCTCTAGAAATTGAGTAACAAAACAAGTATGTTGGAAATCACAGTCTAAAAGGAACTGAACCTTTTGTTCTAAGGTCGCTAGAGGAAGCATAGTCCATTTATCAAGGCATGGCATAATCCATTTTAGCCTAAACTGAAGCACATCAGGACACTGCAGGAGAATATGTACAGGATAGTCCATTTCGGCTGCGGTCAGACGTGCAGTTTGATCCAGTGTGGCCCTGTTTCTAATTGATCCAGTTTTATTTGTAATGGAGAGTTTTGATCAGACCTACCCGTTAACCCTCTTCAATGTGCTTTCACCCTGTGGTTGATTGATCAGACGCAGCAGCCATGGACTGGGGCAGTCGGGCAGGGTTTTTTTAACCATCTGTCTTTTGAACGTGCGCATAAGTACGTATGGGAAGCAGCACTTTAAACTCCTGGCAGAATGGCAGCAGCTGGTGTCCCATGGGATTGCTGGAGGAGGCTGCTGGGATATGTAGTTCAGTGTGAAGGAAATATTCTAGAAACTGTTTCAAACGTTTCAAAGACGGGGGAGGGAGAATAGAGAAGCCTCATCCTGTGTCCTATGTGATGCTGGAGTTTCTATTTAAGAGTTGGAGTTAAGCTGGAGTTATGGGCATTGTTCTCAGACTGCCCCCCTCCCCCCTGAAAAAAACCTCATCTTTTCAATTAACCCCTTCCCTACCCCATGGCCAGAAAGCACAAAAAAAGTACACAAACCCTCATCTTTTCAATTAACCCCTTCCTTACCCCATGGCCAGAAAGCACACAAAAAGTACATATGCATCTTTCTTTGGAAGTTTTTTTAAAAAGAAAACACAGTTTTGAGAAGCTCCTCTGGGTATGTGTGAGAGAGAAGAGGGAGTGAATATGCACTTATGTGCACCTCGCTAACTGCTTCAAAAAAAAAAAAAGGGAAGGGAACATTCAGACTTCCCAAGCATCCTGAAAGCTTGATGGATTGATCAGACATCCAGAAATGTGGGGTGAAAACGCATGCAACCAGGAAGAACCAGACTTTCCCCAGTGCCAAATAACTCTAGCTCAAAGACAGATCTGTTATGTATTAAGTTCTGCATTAGCTTGAGTTCTGAAACAGGATTGTAAATACACCAATCAGAGCTGCGCAATGTTCTGGAGGGAAGCACTCTGATTGGACCTTATATGTAAATAGTGATTGGTTGTTAACTGACTTGTGGGCGTGGCTACCTAAGCCCGGACTGTTTAAAAGAGAGCCTGTTGCTCTATGTTTTTGTCTCGTTCTGATTTCTTCTGACTTCGTTAATAAGGCTGATTCACTGTTCACTAGCTGTGTTGAGTCTTGTACTTAACAGATCAGAACAGGGTGTCCTTGACTGGGGAGCAGAAGTGTTGGGATTCTTAATTCAGGGTCGATGGTTGTATTGCGAACACAAGAGCCACAATTCGAAAAAGAAAAAATATCTTTATTATAAAAATAAATAAAACATGGGTATGGTACTTTGTATAAAAGAAATAAAATAAAGAGTTACGTACTTATAGTTACTCTCGGTAATAAATGCTAACAGCTACATCTTTCTATCTCTCTTGGCTTCTAGAAGAGAACTACATCTTTGGTTCACACAAAGGGCCATAAACTTGTGAATACATTATGTAACGTAACATCCTGTTTGCTAACAAACAACATTTAACTCTGTAATGGCTGAAGTGTAAGCAACTTGCAATTCCAACAAGAAGACAGATGTTGCTGTATGGACATGCATTTTAAATCCAGAAGGGAACAGCGACGACACCAGATCAAACAGCACATCTGATCACAGTCTGACTCTGGAGGGGGCAGGGACATAGCCAATCTGAAAAAGCAGGCGACTGGGCCTTAGTAATTCTACGGCTCAGCTCAGACCCTTCAGTGACAACAATGACTGGTGGTAGCTTGGTTGTAGCCCCCTCCTGTGCCACCATCAGAAAGGCCCTGCTTGATCTCTTCACCACTGACCAACGTATGATCTCACGGGCTGCAGGTGTGAACATATGAAGTCAAGCCATTAGCTTATTTTGTCAACATGTTCAGAGTGTTGGCAGGAGAAAGACTAAAAAAAACCAGTTGGTGTTGCATGTGCTGTGACATTACTCCTGGGGGAAACCCGGAAGTGCAATCGAGTAGCTCCAGGAGTTACCAGAAATTCTATGGTTTTATCAGGATTTCTAGAGCTACCCAACATTACTTCCAGGTTTTCCCAGAAATGACATCTCAGTGCACACAATGCAAACTGCCCCCACCCATGTTCCTTCTCCCAAACTCCCACCAGTTGCCAAACATAGCCTGACAAAAACCCGAACTGAACATCTCAGGGATTGAACCTAGTACCTCCGGCATGCAAAGCAATAGGCCAGAGCCATTGTTCCTCCCATATTCTAAATTCTATACCCCCATATTGTACCCATCCCCACTAGAGGAATTAAGACCAGTCTTGAGAGTCACTAACAGTTTTGAGAGTCACTAACTACTGAATAAATGCCATCCTTTCACAGTCTAATCTGATAGAAATATATTTGCTTATTAAATGTGCTGTTCCCATAGATGGATGAGCAGAGAAGTAGGTATTTTCTGCAGCTATGTGTGTGAGTGTGTGGTTACCAGAGGGATGGATGCCATGGTAAGATTTATGGAGTGGCCTTACTAACAGTTCTAATGGTTCATTAGTATCCAGTCACCAATCAGATCTTTGCAACTGATTGTGATTCTGTACCAAGCACTGAACGGTCTCAGTGCCATTGGCAAACACATCCTTTACGGACTTCCGGTTTATGGCGGCGCGCTGAGTAGACTCACCTCCCGGACCTCCCGGATGTCTGACTAAGTTCATAAAATTGTTAGCACTTTAAGGAATGGCTTTGTACCT